CATAATGTTGTTCGCTCTAATTTCAGGATGAAGCATAATCGTGTTCGGCAGGTATTCAGCGCGCTGGGCCAGATCACAAGCTCCCTAAATTCAGGCAATTCGCCAGCTTCTTCGCTTGCAACAATGGCCGTAGACTGCCAGCGTTGGTTTGCATCGTCGGGCGCACCAGTGGTTACTGAAAATCGGATCCTGACGTTGGACAAGATGAATCCGCGCGTGATCAAGATGGAGTACGCGGTGCGTGGGCCGCTTGTCATACGTGCACTTGCCATAGAAAAGGAACTGGCACAGGTGCACTTCATATACTCACCTCATTTCTTTTCTGCTTTAATTTCTAGTACTCAGCTCCTGATCCTTCTCGGCTGCACTCGACTCCGAAATTTAGAAACTCATGGTATAAATGAAGTAAAGACACCGATGAAGAAATGATCTTGAGTTTTTTTGGGGAAAGAGAAATTTTATTTAGTTTTGAGCGAATACTGATGAAGAAATCTGGTTCATATCTTGTTTAAAACGAACAAAGATGAACAAAAATTGCAAATATTACTAGCAGTTTTTAGCTGGGATAGGCCATTGTACTGCTGAAAAGAAGAAAATAGTTTCACTATCCACTGGTTATTGCAGCTTCCTGTTCTTTACAAAAATTAACGCACACTTCCTTTCTCTAAAATGATAAAACAAATTGACAAAAAAAAAACGATATCCTTATTCACTGATATACTGAACTTTTGATAAAATGGAAGGAGGGAGCAAAGTAAGAGATATCCAAAAGAAACGTGTGGTGGATCTGAAATTCCCTTGTCACGCCTAAACAGGAAGCAACCTAAAACGTTGGCTTTGTCGTGGGAATCAGACACAGATAATTCCCTTCTCAAAACGAATAATCAAGCAGAAAGATAAATTTATTTAAAAATTGCAAAACTTAGCCAGGCATTATCTTGGATTATCTTCAGGGAGTAAAAAAGCCGTTTAAGAATGTCATCAAAGCAAATCTTGGTGATGCTCAAGCAATGGGCCAAAAACCAGTTACTTTCATACGACAGGTTCACAGATATTTAATATCTAATTTTTTCTTAAAATAGTTTCTTAATAGACCAAAAGGTGCGAAAGATTTTTAAAAATAATTTCTCGGCTCCTTTTTTCATTTTTTTGCTACAAATTTTGACGGTCAGCATCTATTCTTGATTAAGAAATGTTTGTGGACGCCGAAATTTAATCATTAGACCTAAAATAGAAAGTTGTTTGTTCAGTTTAGTAGTAAGAGCATATTGCTGTAGTCCAGGGTTTTTGTTAGAATTTTTTGCAGCTCGCCAGGTACTTCTCATTTCTGCTTGATTTTGTAGGTATTAGCATGCGTGTGTAAGCCAGATTTGCAATCTACCAGCAATTATCCGCCGGATGTCATCGAACGCGCTAAACTGCTACTGAATGCATGCGCTGGGCGCACCGTTGGAGCATACAGGTGGGACTCAAAAGTGATCTAGCTAAGTCATTCAGAGTAGTAACAGCAAAGGTTTTCCACGAGTATTCCTGACCATATTCTTGCTGTTCTGGTAGAAACTGATAGCGATTTTTGATTTCAATATATAACTGCTGGGCGACATATGGCTATGGTACTTGCATGCACTTTTTTCTCGACAAATGCAGGCTATCATCAGCCTCAGCAAACAATTTTTTTTTCTTTGAATTATGAAAAATGGACACAAAGCTACAGCGATTATCAACTGGAAATTCCTGAGTGGTCATTTGTCCATCCATAACTGGTGAGTGGTGAAAACCAGATTTTGTGTTTATTCCCTTAAGTCAGTTCATCAAAACCACATGGACTGCCTGGTTTGATCATGCTTAGAGCTCATAGAATTTGGGTAGCTCTCATTCTCGGAATCACTTGCCCGGGGTTCTTTACTTTTACTTTTCGTAAGTCGTCTATGCGCATACCGTATGTTTGGAGCTGGCCGCTGTTCGAATGGTCGCTTTCTTTCCCTTGACGATGAATAACTCTCCGGTAGCTAGCCACATTTTTTTACTTACTTTTTTTAAGTTGTTTTATTGCATTAAGTACTCTGCTTTAAGGGCTCTGCATTGTCTTTGTATGTGTATGTATGTATGCATGAATGTATGTATGTATGCGTGTATATGTGGTGTGTGTGCCACGTGTGTCCGTGCGTGCTTGCCCGTGTGCGTGTGTATATATGTGTGTGTGTTTGTGTGCGTCTGTATCGGTGTGCTGCTGTTTCCAGGTACTTTTTTCTTGCTATCTAGCATTTGAGCCATAAAATAGGTGTATCTTAAAAAAAGCCTTAAATCCATAATTAACTAACAATATATTTAGCCAGAGCAATGGTATTGAAATAATCCGGAAACACGTGGCGGAATATATTATGCGGCGAGATAATCAGATTCCATCCGATCCCGAAAAAATAGTTCTTTCTCCTGGCGCTTCTGAAGCCATACGAGTATGGATTTCACTCATATATCAAACTATCCTCACCACAATTTTGAAATACTCGTCAAGTACAAACGGCAACAGCCTTCTGCGGCTGCTGCCCGTAATTTCACGCAGTCCAACACGGTACATCACATGTCATAGCACGGGTGGTATTTACAAAAACTAGGCAAATTTATTATCCATCTATCAACAAGCAACAAATAAGGGTTTTATCAGAAATATTTTTTCGATTAAGTAATTTCAGGAGGCAAAACCTCCCAACCCATAGAAATCCCACGTCCGGTGTCCGACTCGGCCATATCAGGCCTTCCTGTCGTGGGCTCGACACTTCTGTTTGAATTCTATTGACTATTCTACTGTAGCGAATTAGTGGATGCTGTCTATTTTGCAAGTTTTGTTGCGCAGTTCCTCAGGTTTTCGACAAAATAAAGTGTGCGTTCAGCTGACTTTTCAAGTGAATCCCACAGGGTAAATGAACCTTTT